CCATCTAGGTTTTGCCAAAAGGTACCTGAAGGACTCTCAGACCATGAGAAATGAATTTTTCTGGTCCGACGAGTGAAAGATTGAACTCTTTGGTGTGAATGACACATGTATTGATTGTAGGAAACCACTCATCACCAGGTCATGCCTACAGTGAAGCATGGGGGTGGCGGCATCATGCTACGGGAGATTTTCAGCAGCAGGACCTGGCAGACTAGTCGATATAGAGCGAAAGATAAGTGCAGCAATGTAGAGACTTCAACCTCAAAGTAGAGGATCAGAACAACTCTGTAAATTTTCTGAGTGACCAGGCTAAAATCCAGGCAGGAATCGGATTGAACATCTCTGGAGAAATTAGAAAATGGCTCAGCTAATACGTCTTCTATGCAGCCTAATGGAGGTTGGGATGCATTGCAAAGAGGAATAGGTGAGACGGCTTAAAGATAGGTGTGTCTAGGTTGTGGCATCATATTCAAAAAGGCCTGAGGCTGTAACTGGTGCCAAAGGTTGATCAATAAGTTATTAAGCAAAAGCTGTTAATAGAGAGATAATATGTGATTTCTTAGTTTTCTGTTTGTAATATTTTGCAATAATTTCTAAGAACATTTTCACATTGTCCTAATGTGGTACATTGTGTACAATTTTCATAAAACAGACTAATACCATTTGGGATAAGGCCGTAAGCTAGCTTCATTGGGAAAAATTGTCAATACTTTCTGGATCCACTGTGCACTGGATTACCCTGAGCTTTTTGGTGAAAGTCAGAAAGGAATTCTTATCCCCATCCTCAGTGTTAAAGGTCTAATTAGTTGCTCATGGTCTGAAGAGCATAATTGTTTCTTCGTGTGTTTGTAGTTTTCGGCGTGATGAGCCACAATGCTGGAAACCATTAGCAAACACAAGCGAGGAGAAATGGAGCGTTTCCCCCACTGAGATCACTCTCAGATGTGTATGTTCAGGTTAGGGTCCCCCCCAGCTCATGTGTATGCCGCTCGATAGAAAAAACTCAAGAACTCAGAGACACGGGGCCCCTGCTGAGCTTTTGATCTGTTGTAGAAAACCATCTTCTTCCACTGCTCAAAGTTTTATTTGAGGAAACAGGGCTTAGATAAAATATGCTGTTCAAGAATAGAAATGGCAATTCTATGTGCTGCTCATGACTCCTGCATTTCCATATAGCCTCTTTAGATTAGCTTTTTTCATATTCTTTGAAGATCGGACATGTGATGCAATTCAGTTTGTTTTGCATGGTTTCTAAACAAAATAGCTCCACGATAAATGCAACAATCGTTGATGTCAGATAAAGCTAGAATTTAGTGAGTCTTGTTGACACTGTTGCCACAACTCCGTCAATCAGTCCCAGCTATATCTGACTTCATTGAAAACATTGTGAAACAAGCGGTTTTCGAAGGGTTTTCCTGTGCCTCCATAATTGGAGCCGTCCCGATGACAGTATGTGCGTGAGGATTGAGAATTATATTCCCAAAGTGTAATCTTTGGCATGATATAGACACAAATGAATGGCGCAGTCTTGATTGTTCCTCGGCAGAAGTTACATCATAGTTTTTGAAGTACGCGTGTGGCCCTTGATAAATGAACGCTGCATAATGTTTGGAACAAACTTGACTTAGATTTTGTCAACTTGAGTGAAAATGCACTATCCTTCCTCCCACTTGCAGCGGAAGAGCTTGTTGGTGCGTCTGTAGATAAGATGTTTTTTTTATTATTTATTTTGTGCAAAGCTGTGTGTGCCTTTGGAGGATGAGCAAAGGCAATGGGAGGGGAAGAGGAATGCTGTGGTTAGCTCGGTGTTGGTTATTTTGCAGGAAATCTGACACGTTTGTTCGCACGTACAGGGACACACGCAGACTCCGAAAGTGCCATAGAGCTGTGAAACCACAACACAATGACCCCCAGCTGTTACTTTGCAGAGATTTGCTATCAATGAAAAGAAACAAAGTACAGACGTTGTAACCATGCAACTTCAAGGTATTATCAAGACATTTTGAAGTGGGGTTATTTGGAGTTTTTCTAGACATTTTATTTTCCCTAGAAAGTCTAATTTCCCTGTATGGTACCTGAGCCAGTCTAATGTGGATGAAATCTAATAACAACAAAAATGTCATTAATATGCATGGAAATAGTAATGGATTGCTTTTGCATTCAATGGTTATTTATATTGAAGGGTCCAGTGGAACCTGAACCTATATCTGTCCACTGGCTCTCTGCATTTAGTCTCCATGGTAACCTACTGTACAAGTTAAAGGAATAGTACACCCAAAACATGATTAGCCTTCATTTTCTACTCACCCCCATGCTGAACAACACTCTGGAGTACTTTTTTGATATCTCAAATGCATCTGGAGATCTGGGAGGCTTCTTGCTGTCTGCTGACATTCAAATAAGGGAGGTCTATGGTGCCCGAGACAGAAAGGTCCATAAAAGTCCACAAAAAACGTGTCAATATTCCTCCATACTGGTCGTCCAATGTATTCCAAGTGTCCTGAGTGGGTAGCATCCAGAATTTACTTGAAACGAAGTCATTTAGAATGTTTTTAGAGCATAACCAGTAGTGTATAGGATTTCCTGAAAGCGCGCACATGCGCGCTCACGACGCTACGGAAGCCGGCAGACCAAACCAGCGCATTCAGCTCGGCAAAGAACTCATGCTCTTCCTCAACACTGAAGTCCTCAGACATTTTTCTTTCGTTGTTTCTTTCTTTGCACAGGTAAACAGCACATTTCTTCTTCTACGCTTGCATTATTGACAGAGCAGACGCTGAATGCGCACTTTCATCTGGTTTGGTCTGCCGGCTTCCGTAGCGTCGTGAGCGCGCATGTGCGCGCTTTCAGGAAATCCTATGCACTACTGTTTATGCTCTAAAAACATTCTAAATGACTTCGTTTCGAGTAAATTCTGGATGCTACCCACTCAGGACACTTGGAATACATTGGACGAGCAGTATGGAGGAATATTGACACGTTTTTTGTGGACTTTTATGGACCTTTCTGTCTCAGTCACCATAGACCTCCATTATTTGAATGTCAGCAGACAGCAAGAAGCCTCCCAGATCTCCAGATGCATTTGAGATATCAAAAAAGTACTCCAGAGTGTTGTTCAGCATGGGGGTGAGTAGAAAATGAAGGCTAATCATGTTTTGGGTGTACTATTCCTTTAATAGATGGTAGTTTCTACTAAATCCTTGCTGCTTTTGGTTTTGGCTTTGATATTTACAACAGAAAAAATAAAAGGTTTTGCAACAGATCCAATTTCATTGTTTGGAGGAAAAGATTTGGCATACAGTAAAGCTTCAATTTACTCATAACATTGGATTTTAATAATGTATAAATGACTTGACTGATAAACCTTTTTAGGAGTTAGTAAAAGATTAAGGTGATGGGAGGGAGGTCTTCCAACCTCAAAGACACCTCATTGCTAATGACATACTAAGCTGTTCAGCAATCACACAAACAGTTTTAATTTCCAAAATGCCCGTAAAGGTTATTCTATTCATTGCTGACAAAATACTGCTAAATCTAGATTTTCAGTGGAGTTGAATGATTTGGGATTAATTGTAGTTGTATTGAGAGAAGTTCTGAAAGTAAGATGAAAATTAAGAATGTTGCAGTCTATTTTATACGACTGTACATTTTATTATCCATTTGCAATTAATAGTAGGAAGAAATGGTGTCAATGTTTCCTGCAGATCAGCCCCATATCCAAGCCCAGGCTTTGTTTCTTAAGACACCAAAATTAAGTTTATTCACATTTGCCCGTACCTGTGTGGCCTGGCTGTTTCTCCTCCAACACAACCCACCTAACAGCTTCCAGACATCACCAAAGGTTTTCTCAATCTCCATCAGCACCTTAGAAAGGAAAGTGAACTATAGCTTAAGAAGCAAAATCCCTTCATGAGACACACTTGTTCCCAAATAGGTTTGAAAGTTGCTTCTGGACCTTTGCACTGCACTTTTCTCAAAATAGGTGTTCAGTGAGCTTCCTAATTAGAACTAAGCTTTGTTTCTCCAAACCAAGATGGTTCAGGTTAGATTAGGACTCCACTTAAATACTTCACAGGACTTCACATAAAAGAAAAAACAAATCTTAGTTTGAAACTCCAAATATGTTGTGCAGTGGTTAAGCTTGTTTTCCAAGCTGTGTGTAATCACTCAGCAGCCCAAACGTTGTGCATGTAAACAGCCTTGATAACATTGTTCGCCGTCGTGCAGCATGGTGGCCTTGTACAAACTGCGACGCCGTTCATAAATGTGAAGCAGGATTTAGCTAATGAACAGTGACAGAGGTCCAGCATAACAGCCTGGGGAAAACAGGTGATTTATCAGAAACAGTGTCGTGTGTGCAGCCCTCTGCTGTACTTTCAGCCTTGTTTTTCCAATCTCCATCTCATTATCACTGTGCCCAACGCTCAGTCAACAACTCACTATATCTCTGCTGCAATAAATCTGCTTGAAAGCCTCAGCCGGACTTGGCTGAGTGTTTGGCTCAGTGCTGGGCTTATAAATCTCTTATCTTTATATTTATTGCACATGGCCATGTCAGCTTTGTCTGAAGGGCTAAAAGTGAAGTTCACCGATGCAAATTAACATCCTGTGCATGTGTGCCTTATTGCACTGGTGTGTGTTGCACCTGTAAAATATAGAGAGGGAGAAAAAAAAAAGTTTTGCGCTCCATCTCGCATACCTAGACGCAAACTACGTGTATCATCACTGAGAAGTACGGCTACTAAAACATTAAAGTGGCGGCCAGGAAATATCGCAACCTGTCACACCAGAGAGAGATGTTGCTGTTAACCCTCAGCATGTATTAAATCTATTGCTCTGAGGTCATGTCTCATTTTCAGATCTGTATCTCTCCCAGCTCCGATGTTGACTTTTTCTTTTCCAGCCTACTTTCACCCAGGAGGAGGAAGGATGAAAAAAACATTGAATTTGAGCTATGATGTTTCACACAGAGTGGTTTTTAACTCATCCTGTACTTTTAGGAGTCCCTTTGAAACCGAGGAAGGATCTGGTGTTCTTGGAGCAGCCTTCAGGTCCGCTGGAGATCCGCTGGTCATCCAAGTTTAATATTTCAGTCGAGCCAGTCCTCTACGTAGTCCAGCGCCGCTGGAACTACGGCATCCATCCCACCGAGGATGATGCCACAGAATGGGAAACAGTGGCTCAGGTAAGAACCAGCATATAAACTCCCCTTGTTTTTTCTTGGAATTAAATTTGCCCCACACGGAAGATAGAGCTTCTTCCATCATTGCATGCATCATGCTACAGCTGTGAAGCCGTAGTGCGATGCACATTCCTCACAGCCACAGGGTCATTGAAAGTTTGGCAGGGAGAAACACGCAGATGACTGATGTGGCAGCAGGCTCAGATTGGGGCTGTGACCCTGCCTAAACCCTGACCCCTGTGGTTTGCTCTGCCCCCCCCATCTGTCCCTCAGACCGCAGAGGAGCGCATCCAACTGGCTGACATCAGAGCCAGCAGATGGTACCAGTTCAGAGTTGCAGCAGTCAATGTCCATGGGACTCGCGGCTTCACTGCACCCAGCAAACACTTCCGTTCCTCCAGAGGTATGTGTGTGTTTATGTACAGTATATTAATGTGTGTTGCCAGTTAATGCTTGAAACTTACTGGCCTTTATTTATTATGTTGAAGATGGGTGGAAGCTTTTGGAAACATGAGGCAAACATTTTTTGTACTGGGAAAATTTGCATTTTTAAAAATGCTGCTTTAATTCTCTTTGTAGATGATTAAATATCACACCCTTATTGACAAAGTTACATATGTTGTCTTTGGCCCATTTGGAAACTTAAAGCCATTTAATAAAATTCTATTAAGTTTAATTATATAGCACCAATTCACAACGCATGTCATCTCAAGGCACTTTACAGAGACAATACAACCAGATCATACTGTCAGGTTGGTTCAGTTTTCTATCTAAGGTAAACCAATGATTGCATTGACAAAAAAGCAATCCCTCACACCATGCACCATGCAAAGTGCTTAGTATCTCTTAAGGCAGTCACATATTGTCACATTGCACAGCTAACAACTTCACTGGATTTCAGTGGGATTGACCAACAATATAATACAGTCATAAAGCTGCAGAAAAATGATGCAGGGTATTCAGACTAATTACTAATAAAAAACAAAAACAGTGTGTTGCACATTTGTATTCAGATCCTCTAAGTCAATAAAGTTCAGAATTATGTATACTGCATATATATATATATATATATATATATATATATATATATATATATATATATATATATATATATATATATATATAAATAGTATGTTGTATAATTAAATGTACTTGTAAATTGTTTGGTTCAAACCTTATCTCAAGTTAATGTTTTTTTTTGTTCTGTTCTCAGACAATGATCATAAAATCTGTACCAAGAAAATTCTGATCCCATCTTATGTTTCTCTGTCTGACACATCTTTATTCAACTTTCTAAACAGCCCTGCAGATGGCATTTGTTAGAGTTATTGTTGAATCATCTTGTTATCACATTCCAGAATATGAACATGTTATTTCATATGATTTATTGTTTCCCTCCACGTAGAATCAAACCAATATGCCCCCAGTTGTGCCTGAAGCACCACTGAGTTCAGAGTTATATATCATGCCAATGACATACATACCAAAACGTGTTCACCGTGACTCACCGTGTTCTGCCAAATACTAGATCAGTTACCACATCTAAAAGATATTAGTGTATTTGGCTGTGTGTTGACCTTTGCTGTCAGTTCTTTGTCATACGTTTGCTCCTCGGAGCATTATGGATGGCCGTCCACCAGAGAGGCCAACACCAGGTGGGGGAGGGACTGCGCTGCAGGGATGGAAAGCGATCTCCAATCAGGACAATCAGTGCCAAAACACTGATAGATTGATGAGACTTGTCAGGGATTTGATGAAGTGCCGGCCATTCTGTCATGCAACTGTTATTTGTGTAATATGACCGTATCATCTGACTGCAATTTTGCACGAGCGTACTTTGTAAGGCCAATTTGTAAGAACTGACTACATATTTATCTTGCACAGTTGACATGAAGTGGGTTTAGAGACCCGATGTGTCCGGTTGGTGTTTTTGAACCTGATTAAATGCGTTTCAGGTGGGAGACAACCGTGGAGATGGGAGCCAAGCAGGTTGTGGCATGAATAATTTTCTCATTAAAGGATCACTCCCCCTCATCTGGCATGGGGCTCCACTGGTACCCCTCCACCGGACTAACATCCGGCACACATATGGATAGGTTCAGGGCCAGGCTCATTCCGGTCAGTGTTCGTGTATTGAAGTACATTAATGCTGGATGTGAAGCCAAAGTGAGCAGCATGTGTTTGTTAACCCCTGACCTGTGCTCTGAGTGGTGCTGAACGCTGTCATAGACATGACATGACACCTGTCATAACATCGCTGTTGAGCTCATTCCTTTACAGTCATACTAGCGGTCCCCCTTCATCAGCTACAGCGCAGAGTTTAGTGATGAAACTCTTTCTGACTCCTAATACTCTACCTGCTTTGGAAAGGATTTTTTTGCAAATTATCCCTGAATTTCATTTTACTATTTTGGAAATCTGGATAAATACGTAAAAAAGATAAGTACGGAAATATGTTTTATCAACACCACTTTATGTTACATTTATAAGCCAACACTTTACAATTTGACAAAGTTTTTATCAAGTCTATCATTTTTGGTTTTGATTTAGAAGAAGTATTTTTTATTCTTGGATCTTGTAATATTTTTAAAAGTTTCTTACTTTAGATTGGCAGCCTGGTGACATGCTCCGAGTTAGCTTAAGGTCAAGTTAAACACCAGCTGATTTCTTGGTACCTCTAGTCTAAAATGAGTGTATGTTGTAGAAGAAAAAACCTGCAAACACAAATTTATCAGAATTTCTCAAAATGAAAAGAATTAGCCCTGTGCACAATGATGAAAAAATGCTAAATGGAGAGTTAAAGTAATAATCGGGACCTTTTGTCCTAAGCAGGCAACCTACCTCTCTAGGAAGGTGAGAAAAGCTTTTATTTTTTGACTAAGATGCTGAAGTGCGCAGGAGTGCAAAGAATGATTAAAAATCAATTAGACAGGGTTAAGAGAGCACTTTAGGAGATAGACCTCACCTTGATGAGATATATCGTTTAGAGCGATGGTGACATCTGATGCGGGAGTTTGCCCTGCAATAGGAGGGTTGTTGGTTCAAGCCCCAGCTCTGGCCTTCAGTGTTATTGTGTCCTTGGCCTGATGGTGGTCAGAGGACCCTCTGGCACCAGTGTACGGCAGCCTTTCTTCTGTCAGTGAGCCCCAGGGCAGCTGTGGCTACAATGTAGTTTGCCACCATCAGTGTTAGAGTGTGTGCATAAATGGGTGAATGACTGAATGTAGTTTAAAGTGCTTTGGTCAAGTCTTCTGACCTGAAAAAAATTTTATAGAAGTACAAGCCATTAACCATATCATAGCGTTAAAATATATTTATATTTCCCATATCCCATTGTTATTGACAGATGGTAAAACCTGTTTCCATTAACTTTCCTACTGTTGCTGTGTTCCAGACCCTTCAGCGCCCCCCAGCCCTACCAGTCTGCGCGTCACAAATGTGACTTTGGCTGACGAAGGCCTGGTGACTGTTCGTCTCAACTGGAGCTTACCAGAGGAGCCAGATATTCCTATTCATCACTACAAAGTGTTCTGGAGCTGGACTGTACCCTCAAAGTCGATGGTTCCATCCAAGAAGAAGAGGAGAAAGACCACCAATGGGGTAATGCCTCCTTCTTTATCTGTAAAGTCATGGCCCCTCTCTTTATTCTCTCTCATTGCTATTCTGGCATGCAGTCGAGAAAAAGTGTATTTATCAATCACATTTTTTAACAGAATGCATTTTGTTGTTTTGATTACTTATCCCGATGAAATATTCGAAGGGCAACACATTAATCTGATTAACAGCCCTGTTCAAAGTGATTTATCATGATTACCATGTCTAGGTTTCTTAAGTATATTAATCTGCATTATGCTGTTTTTTGTTGGCTTTTTGAAGTCATTAGTCATGGCCAATCCCGTATTTTGCTTTTGTATGTGCAAGGCCTCATTTTACTTCATTTATTTAATTATTTTTGTACTTTCAGCACAAACTCAAGCAGCTTAAAAATAGCAGTTATCATAACTGTAATTCGAATTGTTATCGTAATTTAATCAATGAAATCAGTGTGTGCCAGACCCTAATTGTTTTGTAAATATTGTGATTGAAACAAAGCACCACTGGTTTATATTATTAAAGCCCTTTCTACTCCAGCTATATTTTTTTATTCCTGTCAGATATAAAAGACTGTTGGTCTTATCTTTGAAATGTCAGAGGTCATCTTATTAAAGGCAAGAGCTGAGACAAAAAAAAAAAAAATCTGATTACCAAACATTATTTCATGTATGTATGTATAAGGGATCCTAAAGTTAGGTCATTCAAAGGTAAATTGTTTAATTAAGGGCTCTCAGAAGAGAATAAACAGGTTTTTAACTATTTAGAAAATAGATCTCTGAAATGTACAGATATATGAATTAAGCACCATATGATTAAAAACTAAGAAATATTGTTTTATAAGAATTTTATAATCTGTAAATATAGTCTGCAGTATGGAACAATCCCAAACAGATACTTTGTTCAAATTATCAAATCAGTGCCATAAAAATACTTAATAGCTTTAATATGAAATTCAATGACCTGATACTTTTAATTAGTACATTATTTACAGAAAATGTTGAAAATTCCCAGAGTACATTTTTTAGGTACCTGCCACTTAGTACATAATTGTTGGACTGGCACCAAAGGCTTCATGGGGTTACTTGGGTTCAGCTGACATCGGATAAGAGCGTGAAACCCTGTGGTGACATATGTCACCATACCAAGTGGCAACCTCCTTGTTCATGCTTGATGGCGACCGGTGTCACCACGACAGGTGGCAACTGGCGTCGCAATAGCTAGCGGGGACTGACATTGCAAAACAGAAAAGATTATTCTGTTGCTTTATAAACTTAGGGCTTTAGACTGGTTGTTCGGAAATGTTATTAGTGTTAACAGTGCAGCAGCTAATACTTTCTTCTGTCAATGTAAACATCGTCGTACACTTAGACTCTTAACTGAATGTGGTTAGCTCTGCAAACTGTGAACACAATAAATTGCTCATTTGGGAAAGGCATTTTTTCTAGATGGGATCCAAACTGAATTAAATCCTCCCCCAGTGCCACTGCAGCGATGTTGGGAGCTGTGCATTGCTGCCTCAGTCAAGCTGGGTAACAGATGGTAACAGCCTAAACCTTACCTACAATCAGTCAAGATCTTCTCCAGCAAGTACCTGGCGTACGTGATGTTATCAAATTACCACGCCAATTTGTGGAGCATTGGTCTACCAGGAAGAACACTAAATTTTGAGCAGGTTTTATGATACATCAGAGAGACACCGATGTTTTCACACTTTTGGTGGCACTGTTGAGTCAAAGTCCAATGGACCACTTTGCAGGCTGCCAAAGATTATTCATAAGCAGTTTGAAGCAACTCTGGTCATGTATGTGTGATTTAGAGCCAAGAGTATTCAAGTGGTGAGATGTGGAAATTTGCTTCGCTGTCACACCCACATGCCTGATAAAACAAAAATGTTTTATAAATTTTTGATCCTCCGTAACTTAATTCTTACAGACATCTTGAAGTGTGCTAGTCAAGAGCTTTAAGGGGAGTTTTCTCAGATATGACATGAGTAGAGGACGCACTATTGCAGGTATGATTCAAAATGGCTGACTTCCTGTGGAGTATGGATCATGGCTTAAATAGGTTTCAATGTGTGTCCTAATAAATTACATGTATGTCCTACAATTCAACCACATCATGCAGTCAGATTGGTTCAAAGTTTTCTATCTAACGAAAACCAGTTTATTGCATCAACTCATTGAGTCTTCAGCGATCCCTCACACCAAGGCATGTTTGTAGCGACAGTGGAGAGGAAAACTCCCTTTTAACAGGAAGAGACCTCCAGCAGAACCAGGCTCAGTGTGCCATCTGCCGAGGCCGTCTGTGGTTCAAGGAGACAGAAGCAGACATAGAAAAAGAAGCAGAGATACAAAAGATAACGGTCAACCAGCTCCACAGGAGGCACCGTCCAGGAAACACAGCCAGGCAGACAAGTTTATTTTAGTCTTTTATTGTTTTTGTGCTTAGGCCCCACTCGCCAAATTTTTGCCTGGATTTTTGTGTGGGGATTAATCTTTTCCAATTTTGGCAGCAATGGAGTGAAAAATTTGGAAATTAGAGCTGAACATAAGGCCCTGGTGGGACAATACTCTTAGCTGCGTACCAGACCACACCCTCTAGCCAAAAGCTTCAGTAATAGATACAAAGTGATATCAACTCATTTTCTTTCATCTTATGAGGCAAAGCTTTGGTGAGGTCAGCGTTCAAGCATTCAAATGCCTAGAGTCCTGGTCTGAAACAAGACACAAGGTTTGCTACAGCTCTGACCCTGTGTTTGGAAGTTATTATGCCATGATGATTTATGGTGAGGAGTCAGGTTTTGAGGTGGTGCCATACTTTGATCAAGCAAAAATCCCTTAGTTACTTTTGATCCCCAGTATTTAAAGTCTTTGATGTGTTATTTTGAAGTTTCTTACTCAACAACTCTGTAAGTTTTGTAACAAAGACAAAATGGTGGTTTGATATATTTGATCGAAAATGGCTGACTTCCTTTAGGGTTTGGACCATTGCTTTTAGAGATCTTTTTGTACATTCTGATAATTTAGGCAAAGCAAAAATACACTTTCTGTTTTTGAGGGAAGGGCTTAGAGACTGTTAGTCATATACCATAGTGTTTCATTTGGGACCAGGTTTGAATTAATCACAGAGGGTTGTCTCTGCAGCATTCTGTGGAGAAGTTATTTCAAATGCAATTTTTTGGCAAGATGTATAATTCTGAGATCTGGCTCCTCCATACAGTAAAACTTATGTTTTGATTACTTTGACCTCCCATGCCGTACAAACAAACCTACCAGATTTTGGGCTAATATAAAGGCTCTAGGCGATGATAAATCCAATGCTAAGGCTATAAATGACCAAGTCATTGTCATCATTTTGAATTAAATCCAATATGCCAGACTTCCTGTTTGTTGCAGGGCATGTGTGCAAGATACTTTTAGGTAGGTCTAGGAAAGTTCTAGAAACATACCAAAGTTTTATACCTTTAAGACAAAGAAGTCCATTGAGGAGGGTGTTTTGAAAGTTTCAAGTTGGTGATGTATTGCCAAAACCTGTAGAATATGTAGTTTTTCACCAGTCCTAAAAAAGCCAATTAATTTGCTTCAAGAATATTATTAATAAACTTTCAAATTACATTAGATTTTTTCAGTTTTCAGCACTTCTTTCATATTATTAGATTGGGATAGTCCAGTAAAAAATATTTGCAACCTAATCCTAAGAAGAGCTATACTCACTTTCAAAGCTAATTTTTTAAATCCCTTTGACGTCTCCTACAATGTGTTTGATCCAAGTCTACAGCAGTGCCACAAAATTAAATCTTTTGCACATGGCTGAACAACTCCACAGTAGAACAAACCTCACAAGAAGAGAGCAAACGGAGGTAACCTTGCAAGCTGAAGGAATGAGTCTCTCTTTATTGGTGGCAGAATGCTGTTCTTTATCAACAAGAAGGTCATTGCAAACCTTTGATCTATTATGCAACAACATAAGATTCAGGTGGAAAACCTAATGCTATTTTATTTTCCTACAGGTACTGTTAAAAGTATGACTTTCATTAGTTTTGTTTATATGTGAAACTGTAGCAATGCTTGATCAAATGGCTCATGTGGTTCGCTATCTGTGAGGAGTATTTGATGACAGACCCGAGCAGGAAGACAGATTGTCTAGACAGTCCACACACACACACACACACACACACACACACACACACACACACACACACACACACACACCTATAGATTTTTTCTTCTGAATTAGTTTTTAAAACGCATAGCAGATGTGGCACAGAGGAGATAGAGGTGGGAGACACCAGAAACTGTTGACACATGTACTACTGGTTTCCACTTTGGCACCTCAGGGGCTTTGAAAGCAGCCTGCTGCTTGAAGAATGTCAAAACACACGCAGTCAATAAGAGGAACTCATCAGGTTCCCGCTGATGGTGGAATGCTGGAAGTCCAGCACAGTGAAGAAGCCCTGGGAGGTTCTGATAACACCGCTCACTCACAGGACCCCCCGAAGGCTATCTCCCTGGTCACGGTACCTTCCAGAGCTCCAGATGTGCTCCGAAAATATGTCTTTCCCACAGACCGACACTGGCCTTCGGACTGCTACAGTGATAGGACTTAGAAAAGCTTTCAAATTTTCAGACATATAGTAACAAAACTAATTCTAGTATTTTTGTTGTTGTAGGCTCAGAGCTGGGTGGATCTGGAGGGACTGCAGCAAAACAACAGTTACACTGTGGAGCTACAGGCTGTCACATACTGGGGACAGGTGCGCCTGAAGAGCTCCAAGGCCTCTCTCCACTTCAGCACCTCTCAAAATAATGAATCAGGTAAACCCTGAGGCAGTTATGCCGTTCTTCATTCAGATGTCTTTTATCTGTTACATGTGATTCAGTTTGTTACGAATAAAATGGAAATAAACTATGCACCAACTACTGCAAACATGAAGCATTGCAACACTGTTTGAACTATTGCTTTCAACTGGCGTCAAAAACTCTGTCTGTAGCAGATTTATATTCAAAGTATTGAAGATGTTACATTTTGCATTAGGAACAAGTATTATATACATATTCTACAGTATTGTTTAGAGATTGATACTACTTTTAAACAATTATAAGAAAATATCTATGTTATCTATCTACTCCTGCCATTGCTGGTCAGTTGCAATTTTCACAAATCAGACTTTTGCTATTTTAAAACAAAGAAAAAACTATTGTGAAGATATGACTTAAGCATTTGATTTAGCACTTGTCGCGGCTTGGATGGTTTGTGTGGCTAGCATTACAAAAATATCTTAATGTGCATAGGACAACACCTTAGTTCTCAAATTTCAACATGGCTTCCAGCTTTTAGGAATTCAGGCCTTTCTATGACCTACAGAATAAAAGCTTGGGAGCTAATTGAACTGCAGTTATGTCAGACATGTCACAGAAAATAAAATGTCCTTCTTCAATAAATGTTGCTCTGCTTTACGGACTTGAGCTTTAGATATCACACTTCTCTTTGACAGTTCATCCTTCAGTAACAACTTCTAACCAATATAGGAGAGTTATCATTTAAATTAGCATATTTTTAACTGTGGTCACAACATATCTAAGGACAATATCCTAAATGAAACGGACAGCAAAGTATTATGCTTGATAGTAAAAAAACACTGTCATAAAGATCTTCAGTGATGATGTAACTTTTACAAGTTTTCCAAAAGGTTTGAAGCCAAATTATCAGTGCAGCCTTGTAGGATGTTTAAATTCCAAGCATCTAATTTTGCAGTGCATCTCTTGGAATTCTGTAATAATGTGCACATTAGGGATGATAAACCTTTTCTGATTTATTGAATTGAAATTCATCTATCTGTGACCTTTAGTTAGAGTTTACTTTAACAAAGCTGAGAAATTTAATTTCCCTGTCTCCAGCAGGTGCAGCAAAGGCTTCAGAAAATGAAAAAAAAAACAACTACAAATATTACAACAGGTAGAGGCTGAACTTAACACCCCAAACTGACAAAATCAGCCTTAAAAAATAAACTTGTTAGGCTTGTATGTTCTGTTGGAGCGTATTTCTAGTGCAGATGTATTTTTGAGATAGATACATAATAGTAAGAAAGCACCCTGGTGAATGAAAGAAAACCTGGACGTAGTGGCAATAAATTTGTTGAAACTCATCTGGCAAAATCCTCCCTAAGTTTCTTTCTTGGTCTGTTTTACTTCTTATTAGAGTTGAATTTCCTACAATTACTGAAAGGGCAAACAACCACATACTGCCAAGGTATACTGTCAGCACGTCCACACTCATCTGCAGCCTGTGTTCTTGTTCTTGAGTGAGAGTGAGACCGTTGTTTTGCTCGGATGAACTTCCAACCTTTGCAGTTACAGAGCACCCATGCATAAAGAAGGGGTTTCTCCTAGTATTGTCCACTGCTGTGATCATCCAAAGATATAATCAAGTCTGTTACCCTGCTAGAGAGTGTCCCATAACACAGTCACTGTTGTATCTTAGCTACCACAGCAAACACTTCTCTTTTCTGTTCCCAGCAAAGTCTTCCCTCAAGTCCAAGAAGGAGGAGATATCCCCTGTGGGCTCCACGCTGGCCAAACGCCCCTCTGGGCCTCTGGAAGTAGGCACACCCTTCTACCAGGATGGTCAGCTCCAGGTCCGTGTCTACTGGAAGAAGCGAGGAGGTAGGAGCTCTGTTTTTTCTGTTTTTGTTCCCAGCGAATTAGCACCCCGTCATGGCCATCAATCACTATGAGTCATGTGCACCGCATTAAGATGTTTTGACTGATCCTCGCTCGCTTAAACAATGGCGGATTGCGCTTATAGATGCGGTGTCAGTTGATGTAAGTAAAACAACCGGTTTTTGCTAGGGCCTTTGTAAAACGAGCGCTTGGTGACCTTCACACGGACGGTTAGGAAGGAGCCACTGTTTAGCAAAGAACAATAAACACACCGAACCCATGCTCAGATGTATTTAATAGATTCTCACATTAGTCTCATTTCACTTTACAAAAAGCTGATGTCATAGGGAGTAGACATGGTGGCGCGTTCCAGCACCACGAGGGGTTAAAGCATGCCTCTCCCAGCGGCATCCATTCTCCTAAAAATCTTCAGCTAATACCAGATTGAAAGTATGGAAACCCTGAAAGCCATGGTCTAAGGGTAACCTGTCAAGTCCCATTCACTGCTCTATGTCATGTTGCAAATATATGTCATCGCCTGGGCCAAACTCCACATCTTTGAGTCAAGAATGCGGGGCCTGGCTGTAGGAGAGGCCTGGTGAGACACCAACTGCTGAATCAGAGCGAGGAGAGCAGGGGAGCAGGACTGGCGCAGAGCTGTTAGCAAGCTTGGCTTGGAATCAGTGAGCTGAGTGATGCTGACAAGGATCAAGCGTGGCTAGGGAATCACTGCGTTGCAGAGCAAAGTTAATCCAGGACCTGTTTCTTGTATTGTGGTCCTGGTTTGCGGTGAGTGTCTGCCGCTGCTGCTCATCAGTCTGAAGGATGGCCTTGCTCTTGGCTTATGTAAACACCCAGACACGCAGATGGCCCAGAGAGCCGGAGTGTCTCTGGACATCTGGTTTGTGTGACGGACAGAGGGGACAGGTTAACTGAACCGTGATTAAACTTTCACTCATTGTGTCTGTGATCCAAAGCAGCCTGGCCTCTGGATTGTTTCCAGCGGACAAAAGGCAACGATATTGTACTCCAGCTCTGATAAAGTATGTGCTATCTTCTCAGCGCTCAGACAATACACAGAAGTTGTGCGGTGGCGGTACTTCTAAAGCTCGCCTCTTGTCATGATTTATCAAACACTGCTGGATTTCTGTTCACTACCTGATTTCCACATCCCATCTCTTGTTTTACATGCCACTTCCCCTCTCAGTCAGCCCTGGCTAAGCCTATCTTGTTTATTTTTTCCCCATTTTCCTGGTTCTCTGTAATTCCTCTTTTCTGCTTCCAAAGAGCTCAGGGGCTTCAAGTGCCAGATCCGTGTCTAAGCCTTCAAAGGACCCCCTTTTATCTCCCCCACTACAACCCCGGCTCCCGCTGAGGGGCGAACGTAGCACAACTCAATTATTAATCGGGGGAAGTATATTGAAAGGAAAAACCGAGCAACACCGTTGAATTAATTATAACCCCTGTGAACAAAGATGAGGGTGATGGGAAAATAAACACTGCTGAGAAGTTTTGATGGTGTTTGTGTCTTCATATATAGCAACAACATGATCCAGATGACTTGTTGCTCTGAAGATGCAAGGATGCAGTGTGAGATTTATCCTTACATTGGAGAAAAACAAGAGAGTCTGGCTGCAGACCTGCACTGTCAGGACCCAGACCTGCACTGTCAGGAAACTTTGTTTGCAGACCTGCAAAATGGGGTCTCCTGCACTGTCACGACTGGAAGTTTATTCGGGAAATTTTATTCAAAGCCTTTGGGAATAGCACGCAGAACGTATTTGTTGCCAGATTAGAGCTTTTGACAGTGTTAAACTGAGCATTAAATTATTCAGTAAGCAAAAACCCTCAAAGGACAGGCAACCTCCATTGTTGTTTAGAAAATCTCTCATAGATCAAATGCCATTTTCCATCCAGTGATTCTAATACAGAGACTTATTTCTATGTAGCACATATCTATTATTCCAGATAGGAGTTTGGTGGGTAGTAAACCTGTGCGTGTACATAAGTTTCCAGTATAACAACGCTTGATTGTGAGCTTATACTTATAGCTTATAGCTTTTACTTTAGAAACTCTTTAAATCACCTTCGGATCCTGACAGTGCAGCTCTGGATCCTGACAGTGCAGGTCTGCAGCCAGAATATGAAGCCATAGAAACAAAGGTCAAGTATTTATAAATACATTTTTTGCAATCTGTGGAATGGACATTATAACTTTAAGTGAAACAGCCTAAAGCATGACGCTGAAAGCCTCACCTCGACTCTTTTAAGCATTTTTTTTTGTCATTGAGGCAGCTCATTCTTAAATGCGTCTGATCAGAAAACACTTCTCGGGGATGTTTAGAAGGCTTGTCTATTTTGGCAAGAGCAAGAGCTTCTTCTCATGATGTAAATGTCCATTGTGGTATTGAACTGTCGTCAGTGTGGACAGTCCTCTGGTATTTAAGGTTTTTCAACTTTATTTGTTGTGATTTTGCTTTCAATCAATTATCAATATTTCCAATCAGCTTGGTTGCTTAATGGCATCAATGATGTGGCTCTTCTTTTCAGTTAACTTTGTCCTTCATTTTGATGAAAGAAATTGTTTCCAATATGGCTAATCTATGGCTAAGCTATCTAAATCTCTAAAGTTTACAGTGGGTGTGAACGGGTTGTGGATATTTATTAATTTTTTTTAGAGCGAATCCTAACATTTTTATCATAAACTGCATTATGTTTCCCTGTCATAATGATTGTGATTCTTGTGGAATTCCATCAGATTTTGCAGGATGAAAGTTCAAAACAAAAATACAAAATCTGTTGAATGTTATAAAAATGCATCTATGACTGCATATTTGAAAATAGAAAAACACTCTGCCACATTATTTCTAATAAAATTGTCATCCTTTAAATCATAAAATTCAGCTTAAGACTTTAGTTATTTTCAGTTGTTTTGTTTAATTTGAAAATGTAAAAACAGGACTGAAGGTACCTGAATTTAGAAGCTTTTAAAACTTTAGAATGTCAAAATACATGGATGCTAAAAAAAAAAAGATAATAATCCAGCAATTTGATGGTTAAGTTGGTACATTAGTTGCATTGCTTATTAGTTTGTCTCTAATAATCACTTTTCTGTTCTATAGAGTTATTTGATCATTATGCAGCTGTAGAATGCTGGACCTGCCCTTGTGATGCATGTTTTCAGTATTAAGGCTGAATTTAGAGTTCTGCATACTGAGGATGTTTTTTACATTCCACTCTTTTTTCCCTCGTTTTTCCATTTGCTGCAGACCCGACAGTGAGTCGCTACCATGTCCAGTGGATGCCTGAGTACTGCAGCCATAATGAGACCCGAGGCCCAGAGAAATCAGTCACGCAGGTCAGTCTCGCTGACGTTGCCTAGTATAACTTGTAGAGCCTCCACCTGGTCAGCGGATCAATTCAATGCAAAGCATGTGTCTAACCTTTTGTTGAGAAAGGAGCTTTCTATCGATGAAACAAGACCAACTAAGTGAACCCCAAAGACCTGTTAGGTTGGGTTTACATTGGCTATTGTTTGGAGTCCCATGAGTCAGTAATTATGGTCAGGCATGCGGTATGTTAGCCAATAAAACACTTATACTTAAGCTATTTTTCCAGGGTTTCTGGGGCTAGCACTCCTCATAAGGCTTTAGCCATGTGTCTCCATGTATCTGTGACAGAGTTGTGTACATGTAAAAAAAGGTGGGGACTTGGGATCAGTGTCTCAAGCTTATCGAGGGTGTCGGAGCCATTCAATCAACACATTCTTTAAGAAGCAGCTTCCCGGTTGCTTGGGAATATGCGTTTTCCATATATCACCAAGGAGGAGTCCAGGCTTGTGCTTTTATGTGAGTGCAGCGCCTCATTCACTGTTAATCAAAGCTGTTTCATATCAGAGAGAATATACACCCTCTCCTAAGGGACCGTCTATTAATGTAGGCCGACTTTATTACCATGAGGTCTAAATCCACAAGTCAGCAAGATTTCTTTTTTTCCCCTCTGAGAAATTGGAAAAGTGTTAGCTTTTCTTTTTCTTGTCAAGATCAATAGTTGATGAAATCTTGAAATAGGTTTACTGTGAAAAGCTGTTGCTTAAACACATTAACATGGATTTAGAGGCTATGAATGCTGCTGCCTTCTATTGAAGTCCTCCTGTTATTGTGTTTATGTCTTACATACAGGTGTTTTTCTCAATACTTTTTAGTTATGAGATATTAGCCATGGTTATTGGTTTTAAAGAAAACTAAAATGCAGCAAAAGTACAACAGAAATTAGTTTTCATGACTGAAATGTTGTGTTATGACCTCTGCAATCACTGGGGAAGACTGCTGATGTGATTCTTGTCAACACAAAGTCATTGACACCAAGTCAGGTCTGGAGGGTTGTATCCCAACAAAGTAATGATATACTGAATTCAAAGCTCTTGTAATCATCAATATACAGTGTATGTGTGAGTTTCCCATTTTGAGTTAGATCAAACAAATTCACTTTCCGATGTTTTTTTCTATTTATTTTAGATATGAAACAAGTTACATTGCATTTTAAATTGTAAAGCTTGTTATACATATATGGCGTTTGAGTCTCACCATAATGTGAGATATGTTTAAGAGGCCTGAGCAGGAACTTGATCTCTTCCAGGTCTGTGTATTTAATTATCTCTGAAGTGGCACATGGGAGCTGACCTGGAAGACACGTCAGAGTCATCAGGGCTGAAAAATCTGTTTCTTTTCTCAGGAGAACTACATCAACCTCCCGGGTCTGCTGTTCTCCTGCAAGTACAAAGTCACCGTCCATTTGCTGAAGTCCAAACGGCGCTCCAAGGATGAGAGCACCACCTTCTTCACCCCATCCTGTGCTACCATTCAGAGCAAGACCCACAAGCACATCCCCTGCCCTGGAGAGGGAGGTGAGGATTCAACCGTCTCACCCCTGAAGAGTATTTTAAAATCAATCCACGTTAGCAGAGGCAGAGTAATTAGATGCCTTTGTGTGTTGTGGTATCAGCATGATGATGGAGAAAATCTATAAACGGTTGAAAGAAAAAGTCAACATGTGCAAAATTTTCTTGGCAAATGATGTGGATTTAAAGAGAAAAAAGCCTCTCTCCAACCTGGAACAAATGTGAGTTTTTACATTTCCATTTATCGCTGTCATTTTTCTCTTTCCAGCTTCAGCGCTTCCAAAGGTCCTCGCTAAGCCAGAAAATCTGACGGCCTCCTTCTCCATGAATGACGGAAACATTACCGGCAGCTTCCTGTGGCGTGTTTCCAGGGTGGCTCCTAACCAGCGGATCACAGGCTTCCAGGTCACCTGGGCGGAGATCAACACTGAGAGCCGGCAAAACAGCCTGCCGAACAGCATCATATCCCAGTCCCAGATCCTGCCACCAGTACGTTCAATCCAATGGAACAAGTCTGATGCTTTTCTCTTCACCCTGTTAGATTATTTTTGTAGCTTCTTATTTGCCGGAACAGGCCGTACGTTGCCATGCATATTTTGAAAATGATGCTGCGTTTGGAGCAGACACTCTGTCCCCAGCATTAAAATGTAGAGCATCTGTCACAGGAGACAGTGGTTTTCAGATAACGCTCTGTAGACTCTGCATGAATCCTGTGATAAGGCATTTCTGTGCAAACAGGCACATGGATAGATCTGAGGTAGCTTTGCTTGCGCTAGAGGTTTCCCTCTCATACCTTCATCTGCCATCATGCCGTCCTCTTTTATCCTCTGCTAGGGTTTTCATACAGCCACTCTTTGACATAATCTGCTTCATCAACAACTCATTCTGCCTATCTGCACCCCCTAGCCTCCCGAGCATGGCTATAAATAAAACCACCTACTGCACACTTTGTCACACTGGCAGCAGCCTTATAAAAACAAAGGCTTTGTTTTTGTCTCTGCTTTCTCCAATGACAGCTATAAATCTGTTTTATAGCCTAAATTAGGGCACTGTCGAATTCACAGGGAATGGTTGTTGCATCTCGGTTGATAACTTCTTCTCCTTGCCTTTGCAGGATCATAATCTGCTTGTTGTTTCCAACTTGCGGCCATCTACCTTCTACAGACTGGAGGTGCAGGTCATAACAACTGGAGGAGAGGGACCTGCCACTGTCAAAACCTTCCAGACCCCGAATTTACACCCAGTGGCACAACACCGTGAGTTACTGTTAACAAGCTATTGAATGAAAATAGGGCATAAGGACATTTATGTATTTGGTCCTACCTCCAGGTGTGTTCAAAGTGTTTTTACTGTTAGCTGATTACACATATGCACTCTTTTATTGCCTAATAGGGTTACAGAAAGAAAACTTTCCGTATGGCTAAGCAGCAGGTTAGCTCAGAGCTTTAAAACAATAAAAGTTGGCTACAAAAAACTATCACAAACAACGATGTTAATATAGATCAAGGGAGTTTCGATACAAATGCACTAGGTTGCTGCATTCACTTGCTACGTTTCCATTGAAAATGTGCGTAACACTGCCGATATACTGCCAATTTCGAAAAATGCAAAGTTTTGCATTTGCAATATTTCCATTAAATAACAAATGCAACCAAAATTGCACGTGAATATATCTGTTAAAACATCATGGAGCGGCGAATGTAAACACATGAGATGTATCCATTTTTAGCCATGGGTCTAATGAGTGCCATTGTCCTCCAACTAATTAAAGTCTTTCTCTTCGTGTTTTTACATAGCAGTAAAGTTCAGCTGTAGATCATGTGACCTATGTGATGTGGAAGAAAATTATTCTATTGCAGTTTTGTGAAACATAAGAATTTCGCTATGACTGAAGAACCTAATAGAAGCATAAAAAGATATTGGTTTTTTAATTTTAAATTGCAGTGGTTCAATTTAGCATATTTATTTTTGGAATTACAATTATGCAATTTGGTAGTCAATGGAAACACACCTACTGATTCTTGTGTAGTGAGTTCTAGTAGAAAGAAAACCAGATATTTATGTTTCCTATTGGTCAGGATTAATCATACTGACCTGTTAAATGACTGGTTTCTGGTTGACCTTAAATTTTAAGGTGTTATAATAGGTAGACATGATCTCTTTTTATTTCTTATACTCATGAAGAAGATGTCATCTAGTTGAGTTTATAAGCCCAAACAGCCCAAGCTGTCCTTTAAAAAAAGATTTAGAAAATGGTTACTTAAACCATTTTTAGATTGATACGGTTATGGATGAAAACGTTGAAGTACATCAAATAACATGATCAGCACATTTAGATCGTATGCTCAAAGCAGTGACTAATATATGTGAATATTTGTGACTCCAAAGGACCCAGACTCCGACAGCACCACCCTCACCACCAGAAACCATCATTGGAGAAACACTGAGTTTGCACATCAAGATCCCAACCCGACTGGGAGACGTACCTGTGACTCTTTGTTCCTGTCAGCCAAGAAAGGAATGTGTGGAACCTAACGGAAACTCAGCGCACCGGACCATGAAGTGGACCACCTCCCTCCGCACCCCCTCAGCTCAGAAAAATTGGGTTGATCTTCTCCAGGCTCAATAACCAACACAGAAGCTCCCTTTACCCCGCACATCTCTCTCTCTCTTCACTTAGATATCGCCGGATGGGTTTGTGTGTGTCGTTTGAAATTTAAACTGTAAGGTTTCATATTCCTCACCTCCTCGCCCCCAGCTCCAGCTCATCCCAGACTTAAAAGGAAGCGATTAATTCCTGGTCAAATGAGATCCTATAACTCCATCCCTAGTTTTCGATCCAGCTGTCATTGTGCACATCAAAAAAAGAAAAAGACATTTAATTGGTACTGGTAAACATACGTTTGAAAGCTTTTGCCTGATGAAAACTGAATGATGGAAAAATCCCAGAACTTCTGCTCATCCACAAAGAATGAAAAAGTAGAACCTAATCTATTTATTTTTGTGTTTACCCATCAAAGAGGCGCTTAGACATGCAGTCTGCATCGATGGATAATGTAACTAAAGTCCTTATCGTCTAACCCAGAATATTTCATGTAGTATGTTGCATGTAGTCCATTTGATTTTTGAGCTGTAAATGAATTACTTGCTTCAAATTGAAAGCTCGTGATGTTTTTTTGCATGACAACTGTTGGCATTCCGTTGGCATGAAATAACGTCTCTGTGTTACCTCTTTTCAGTATGTTAGCAATATTTCATTAACAGATTAACAAATAACTATATTGGAAGTAATATTTCACGTTTATTAATGAAATTATAATGTGTGGAGATGAATTGTACATGTTCTTTGGCTGTAGAAATATTTGTCTTGGAGCAGTCAGTGAATGTCTATATTTATTTATGTGTGTATTACATTTGCTTTTTGATGTGTGAATGTTTTTTTTTGTGTTGTAGTCTCAAATTTTTAAAAGTGATACAAAAAAAAAAAATCGACAAAAAAATCTTGTAAAGACATTTTGTAAAAAAGGATTTGTAAATACAGTCTTATGTTACATGTTATTTTTCCATGCTAGAACCTGTACAAACTGCTAAGTAATAAAAATAACTCCTAACCTGTTCCCTGTTACCGCTTGTTTCACTGAATCCTCTACTGGAGCTGAAAACTCCCAACTCTTGGCCATTTGGAAGCTTCAGTTGCTTGTTTTGGCTGCAAAGTCCACCGTGGCAGGCTCTGTGTGTAGCACAGATCGGTGCAGGAGCCCGGGACACACGCTCTACACATCCAAATAAACAGGCCCTCTAGCGGATTTACCGCTGCTGAGGCCGGGCGTTCGTCAACATAATGCCCTGCCTCTAAAAGCGCTTGTGTGTTTGAAAACCGATAAATACCTCCTCTGCTTTGCAGCTTTTCACCCTCATAAAATGAGAAGTGGAAATGTTTACACTAAAATAACTACTGGAGTGTCACCGTGACAGTTAGACCAAGTGTAAGTAAATATGTGTGGAGGTTTTAATGTGGTATAATGCACATATTTGGGCCCTGAATACAGTCCATGTCAAATAGTCTTAAACAGTCTTGGCATGTTCCTGTGAGGATGAGGATTTGTTTAAGGGATTCCTCTGGCTGGAGAGGAAATGTGTAACAAAACAGGGAAAGCTATTGTGCTAGAGATGTGACTAAATATACATTTCTTTTATATGGACACAATTATTTTTGGCAACGCTTTGAAAACTTTTCCAGGAGCTCTTTGAAAAAAAAAAAATTAAATAGAATTATAACAACTTGAAAAGGATGATATGGTTCTCTACTGCAAAAACCCCCTCGCTATGTTTTGCTGTATATATGTGTGATCACTGCGGAATTATTATAAATGGCTTATTTTCTCCTATCACTTATTTAAAGTCTTTTTCTACCACCAGACTTGGCCACCTTGATGAGACATGTAGGTAAAAATTAAACCAGATTACAGCACTTGATAAACTGTTTTGTTCAAACTTTTTTTTCTTCACAGTTCAACATTCTATGTTTTATATTAGAATATGTACAGCATTAGAGCAACAGAAAAATTATTGCATAACTGCGAAGTGGAAGACCAAAAATGTGTTTTGTGTAATTTTGGATTTAACTTTCCTTACTTATATTACACTAAAATAAGTCAACTTCTACCAATTACTTGACAAAGTTATTTAATAAAGATTTCTATTCTAACATATCACTATAACTTAGAGTGATTTGAAAAGGCCTGAGGATTTTTTTTTCATTTGCTGTAAGACAAGCGTGAACGAACCGAATCCTGAAGATCAAGACCTCAGCAGACAAATCAGAAAGAAACCTGATTAAACAAAGAGAAAGATTATGACCACTAATTCTCAAGCTTTACAGTCCTTTAGAAAATATGATTTAAACAACAGCTGGAAATCAACAGACATGGCCGTCCAATTTTTTCATATAAGCCGGTCAGGCAGACTATAACAGGAGGAGCTGCTAAGATACAGAGTCTATCTAGGTGGAGGAATCGGTTTAGTTGTACATTCTACAAACCTGACCTTCAATACCAAACCAGTGAGTGTGTAAAGGAAAGCTATAATTAATTCCATTTTTACATTCTGGATACTCCTTTAACATGATGAAACAAGGTAGCTTCCACATCTTGAGGTGGGGATTCCAATGAACAGCAGGTGCAGTTAGCTGATGGACCTAAATAAGGAAGGAAACTTGCTAAGAGGTTTATTCCCTCAAGGATAGAGTTGATGTTCAACCTCTTGTAGGAAAACCATAAATATACAACCAGAGCTAAAAAGAAATGGTTTTAGTATGGCCCAAAAGCCCAGATCTAAATCCAATAGAGTATGTCCCGGATATCCCTATCCAAACTGACAAAGCTTTTGCTATTTGCAAAGGATAATTACAAAATATACCTAGATTGCAGATGCTTCTAGCAGGTAGAAACCCATTCCTTAAAGAAAGTCATACTGTACTCAATTTCTAGTTCAGAGGTGCTCACGGGCCCTGTCACACCTTGCCAATTTAGCCAGTGTATGCATGACGTCCCAGAATCTCTGAAATACGCTGAACTTTTAATGTAATTTCTCAATTTTGGGCGTATTCAGAGAGTATTTATAAGCCAGTGTCCTGAAGGAAGCATCGATGTTTCTGGAGATGCCCAGCCTGCACTAACCTAAGCTGCTGTTTACCGTCTGGCAAATAAAAAAAAGAAAAAGAAAGAAGGATTGCAGTCGCAGCAGATTCACCATCAAGTCTACCAGGGAGTTTGTTGGTTGTGGGCGTCAACGTAGGGAGGCTCCATCACACTCACCTTCTCACTCATCCTATGATGGGGATGAAGTCTGGAGAATTGATGGTTTCCTCGTGTGAATCCCCCTTTCTTACCAAAACGCAGCCAAAACTCAATTAAACAGTAGCTGTAAGTTAGAAACACGTTCAGCGTTCGTCTGGAACAAGTCAAATATGTCAATATGCATTGGAGATAAGTTCTTGATAAGTTATGGTACTATCCTGCAAAACATGGACTTGAGGCCCCCTGCTCTAGTGTAACAGTGTTGGTAGAGACATACTGTAACTAATAGTTACCTGTACACTGTAATCACAGCGTGTTCAATCGCCTCTTAAAGTTGGAATAGAGATAGATAGATAGATAGATAGATAGATAGATAGATAGATAGATAGATAGATAGATAGATAGATAGATAGATAGATAGATAGATAGATAGATAGATAGAGATATATATCTTTAAGATGTTTATCCTCAAAAATTGTCAAAAACCATTTGTCCTTATTCCTTTCACTTCATAATTAGGTTTTGCTTTTATTGGCTTATCCCATACAACCACAATAAAATAAACTGACGTTCGTCATTTTTAGATGAAGAAATATATAAATATAGAGATGGATTACCCTAAACGTTTTGCATTTTTCCCCCAAAAATACAGAGATCCCAATTTCTATGGGGATAAAATAACGGTGCTCATCTAACCACCAAAGCGCCCTCTCTTGTCTCAGCTGCAGAGATAAATATTGAATAGATTCCATGCACCGTACCCTTCTTGGCCGAATGCAGCTCAAAGCAAATGGGCCAAGCCAAAGAGGCCAAGGGGGAAAACTGGAACTGAACCTTGGATTTTGCAGAAACACATGATGCAGTTTGTAGAAAAAAATAACAAAAAAACAAGACAATGATCTAAAGCACACAGCCAAAGCATCTAAAAAATGATGAATAGAGAGTGATATCAACATTCTGGAGACACTGAGTCCAGACCCAAATTCTATGGAGAAAACTCAAGATAAGAGTAATGGCAAGGATGCCAAATCTGGCCTCACAGATTATTAGCTTTTAATAAATGTTATGACTGTTAGCAATTATAAGAACCACTTGATTGTTGTGATTGTAAATTATACACTTGATTTTTGTGGAAACGATAATCACATAGGAATTCACTTGCAATCAAAGCTCGGCCATGGGTATGAATATTTCTGATTTTTTACAGTAAATGGAGCTTTCATTACAATCATTTTGCTTCCAGAAGCTGCAGTCAGGAATATTTGTTCTTCACAGTTGAACTATCTCCAGTTCTTTTCATAATTAAGGGATTTTTGTGGTGAAATATATCATCTAAAGCTAAACGTTTCTCGCATTTTTAAAAGAATCAAAACAAGATATATTCTCTGTTTAGATCAAAATCTCTTTTTTTTGTGTCTTTTCTAGGCTCAAATGTATTAGTTTAAGGACAAAGACACCGTATTTTTAAAACTACTCAACTCCACATGTGTGAAGACCATTAACACCAAATGTCAACAGCATGCTCTGTGTCAGTCAGTCTGTAGGCTTCTTCATAAAACCGCTGCAGTGCTGGCAAACTGTGTGGGCATACGCTTGCTTTTTTAGGTGCATGCTTTGAAAAGGAAGACACCGCCCAGATGTTCAACTCTCCCATCTCAGCAGCGCTGACAAATTGCTCTGAGCCCTCATGTTCACACATTCAGCCTCTTTAGTCAGTCAGCCTCTGCTTCAGACACTCACTTCTCTGGGATGTTGTTTGTGTACAGTTCCATTATGTTAGGAGAGATTAGTTGCTCGGTCCGTACACGCTAATCCCTCTCCCTTTTCATGCAGCCAGGCAAGTGTTTAGCAAAGGCTTCTTTCTATTTATGTCAACCAGCCCAGCCCCTTTCTTCGCTTTTCAAGCTGTCCCAGTGCCTTCCTCTGTACACACACAGAAAATACCACGGCCCTCAAGTGTGAAAACCTCAAAACAAAAAAAGAACCTCCAGCCTTCTTTGAGGCATGTTGCAAGACGTCCAAACCCCAGTGGGCATTAAAGAAAAACTAAGAAAATGTAACAACAAAATAATAGGCCTGTTGTCACTGCAAAGGCTTTGTCTCCGATGATACAAGGCCTGTTAGGGCTTATATCTTTGCATGACATTGCGTCCTATTGTGCAACTCAGAGGGGATATTGCTTTCAAATTCAAATGCATATTCAAGAAAACACTGTGTTCTGAGCTAAATTTATGCCAGTAAATATTTACCCCTCTTACTGTTGACATGAGAGCCTGGTTAATTATGACAGAAATCATTAGAGCAGTGCACAAAGATAAGTCTCGTGCTTCCACGATTTTCGTCTGGCTTATCAAGTTTATTTTAAAACAACAGAAACCAAAACAAAAATATGTACTATTCTAATGGAAAGAGGGGCTGCTGCAGACTTTCCCACTTTCCTGAACACCTAAAGCTGCTGTCACATTTTTCCTATCCTACCACGTATGGTGCCATAGCAAATAAGCATGCTCCATTAGTTAGACATGGGGAAATGAAGCACATTTTATTAAATGTCAAGTCATTGTCACATCTTTTAGGTATTTGTTTTGCTTTTGATGCTTCCCCCATTCTGTATATTCTAGGTGCACTGAGCTCAAGGGTGTAAAATTAAGTTTCAATTACTTTAGCTGCATTCACAACATCTTCAATTATTTCTCTTACTTTAAAAAAAACAGACATTTTTAAGTATAATAGTCACCAAGTAATTATTAAACTCTAAATAATATTTTATCACCAAGTGGTGCAATATTATTAGTTCAATCAAGTTCTATTAAATAGAA